TCTCCTATTAAATTGTATTACTGACTTGGAGTCTCGCACTGGTTTTACTTTCAAACCAACACACCAAGTAATGCAACCTCTCTGCTCAAGATTCCCTTGCTTGCAAAATGAAAATAATATGATTTTGGTGGGAGTGGACCATTAAAGACTATCTAGTTTCAACTCCCTGCCATGGGCAGGGACACCTTCCACTAGACCAGGACCCCATCCAGCCTGGCATGAATGTGGGATGGGGCATTCACAGCTTCACAGTTTGAACACAGTTTGAACATTCCATTTCAGGGATGAGACATTCACACCTTCTTTAAGCAACCTGTCCCAGAGCCTCACCATTCTCACAGTAAAGAATTTCTTCCTAATATCCAACCTAAATCTACCCCACTGTGGCTTAAGGCCACTGTCCCATATCTATCCTGTCACTACATGACCTCTCCAGCTCCTGTAGGCTCCTTTCAGGTGCTGAAAGGCCACAATTAGGTCACCCCAAATCCTTCTCTTTTCCAGGCTGAACAACACCAGCTTTCTTCACCTCTCCTCGTGCAAGAGGTGCTTCAGCCTTCTGATTGTTTTCGTGGCCCTAAAATAAGTATGTTCATGGGTCCTAAAAAATACAAGGTTGCAAAGACTAACTGGGTTATATAGCCATCTTTGTGTCTCATTGGTCTTGTTAGAGAAAAGGGCAATTCTTTGGCATAGTTCACAGATTCATTGAAGGCCCTGAAAATGAATTGGCTATTAATGGACTGTCTTAAAGCCATTATATGCCATCTTTTTCTCACCACTGAGTTCATAGCTACCTTTGGATAATCCTCTGATACTGAAGTACCTATATGTTGTGACCATCTGTTCCATGCTTGTTTAATTTTGAATAATAAATTGTTTATGGGAGAATTTCAGCGTAAAATACCCTAGCATTTTTTTGTCTTCATTTAAAACATTGGAATCATTTCAGTCTTTAAGCAAGAACTCAATTAGTCTTCATATTTGTCCTGAGAAGTCATATAATCAGCATAAAATGTACTTAAATAGTTTTGTTTTCTCCTAATTCCTCTTCCATCTTTCAGCTTCATTTTTACTATAATTTTCATATGGAACTGTATAGTGAGATTTCAAAGTGAGCCTGTCCTCTTTGTCTTGTCTATTCTTTTCTGGTACTACAGACTTTTCCTATTACATTATTCTACTGGTGTATCTTGTCAACCTTATGAAGCTTGCTCAGAAAAGTTAATCAATGACTAATAGAAATTATTTATTTTTCATAAAGTTATAATTTTTTTTAATAATTTTACGTGCTGTTACTTAATATTATATAGTTTGGAATTTTTATAACTTATAAAAGTCTTTATTTAAATATGCTAAAATACATGCTGCAGCATGTCAGTTATGTCATCCATACTGATGATATTTTTTCCCTCTGATTATTTCAGGAAGTGTTTGTAGCTATCCTCTTTATCAGAAGTATAAGTTGCCAGTGCTAGACACAATGTTTGTTAGAAAGAAACATCGTGGGAAAGACTCTGGTCTAATCATGTTGGAAGACTTTGTGGATTCCTTTACTGAGGAGCCTCTTGGCCTACGATATCCACTGTCATCCTTCCTGTATACAGGCAAGCTCTTTAATTTTTTCTTCTGATCTTCTTTGGGGTTTCTTTACTTGTCCAAATGAGTATTGTCCATGTTTGTGGCCTCATCCTCAGGTTCTTCATTAAATTTTCTGCACTTTCATGAAGGCTAAAAATCCTGATTTGTTTTAGATGAAGTAGTTTTTGATTCAATTTTTAATCCTCTATGTAAAACTAGATTGTTTGAACTCTGTTGGCTTTCTGCTGCTGTGAAGTTTTACCACTGTCCTGTTTTCCCCACCAAGCCTGTAGAATGGCTGGGGTGTTTGTGTGTAGGATCTAATGTGTATCTGCCTTGTAGCACCTTTTTCTTGCTCACACCTAAATCTCACGAGGTCGTTTAATTCATGTTTTCTCTGAACTTCTGATCAACAGGATATACTAGGCTCTGCTTTAACTTGCGTATCAGAAGGCACAGTTCTAAAATACAAGGAAAACACACATGGTTCTTCCATTAGCTGCCTAAGAGGACTATGTAATGTAGGAAACTACATGGATTTTGGGAACTATGTTCTTGTGACTGTGTTCAGACAAGAACGTTTATTTTGCCCTGTTTCTCAAGGCATGTTCCTTTTTAGGCCATTTGCCAGAGTTCCTTCTATGAACATTTTTATCTGGCCTTCTTAACCAGTAGAAATTTTCTGCTTTTCCAAGCACCACAGTTGGTCACTAGATCTGATAAGACCTGATTTGTTAGGCTTCAACTAGGAAAATTACTTGAGCGGAATGCAATGATTTATTCATTTCTGTAGTCAAGAAATGACACAGTGGGGATCGTGTACTCTGAAACTGCATCAGTAGTGAACCAGGTGAAAAATGGTAGTTTTTCTAGCAATTAACAGAGAATAATGTCAAAGCATGCATATCTCTTCACCTGTATGTTTGATACAGGTATAGAGAAAAAAGAGATGGAAGGACAGCAGCACAGAAAATATTCTGGAAGTGAACAGTGATTAACCATTCAATGGTAACATGTTAACACTCCCAGAGAGTGCTTGTCACAGGTGCCTACTACAGCATGAGATGACAAAAAGCATTTGATTACATCCTCTGCTTAAGAACTCTTCCCTCCTGATTTGGGTCTTATAGTTGTCAGGAACAGTGACTAGTGAAGTCACAAAAATCTCAAGTGGGTACCGGGAAAAGAAGAAAATCCATTCATCTTTGTTTGCATTTTAAGATAATAATGGAAAGTATTTAAAGTTATATTAAGAAAGGATTCATTAAGGATGTGTAGAGTAAAGCAATAATGTTTATTTCAATTGTTTCAGTATATTTCAAAACTGTTTATTTTGTTAAACTGTTCTTTTTCTTGTTGATTGTGTATGATGGTAGATTGCAAAATGATTTTATTTCAGATAAACTTTAAAAAATGAGATATAGCTGAGTATATAGTATCTATAATATAGTGTTTTTTTCTTGTGTTTGCTCAGCTTGTAAACAGTACCTTGAGAAGTACCCTGGGGATAAAAACCTTTTGTGGCAAGTGGAGGGAGGCGGAGATTGGTTCCAGAGAAAGTCTATTATGTCCATAGTGCAAAAAGAAAATCTCAGAATTGCAGGTATGGATGCTTTGTTTTGTTGTTTTCTGACACTTTACTACAAAGTTGAACAAATACTCTACAAGAGTGACTTTTGTGAACAGTGTAGAAACTAGCAGAAAGATTTCTATTTGTCCTGAGACCTGTGAGATCGTGTTTTGAATGGTGTCATATTTTAACCCCAGCTGGCAACTAAGTTACCATACAGCTGCTTGTTCACCCTCTCCTCCCTCAGTGGGATGGGAAGGAGAGTAAAAAAAAGTAAAATATGTGGGTTGAGATAAGAACAGTTTAATAAGTAAAATAAGATAAAATGTAATAAATATAATGAAAAGGGAGACAAAAACAGAAATAAAACCCAAGAGAGAGAAGTGGTGCACAGTGCAGTTGCTCACTACCTGCTGACAGATGCTAAGCCAATTCCCAAGCAGCCCCTTCTAGCCAACTGTCCTCAGTTTATATACTAAACATGATGTTCTGTGGTGTGGAAGTTGGATTGTTGCATGCTGGAGCCAGTTCTCCTTCTGTCACCACTGCACTTGTTTGGTTTCACAAAGTTAATTCTTCATTGGTCTGGGTAATTTTTATTGTAATACCCTTGATATGGAAATTGAATGGTAATTGGGTTCAGATCCCTAAATTCAGAATGGTGAAAATGGGTACTGTGAGGTACTCAGTTCAGTAATAGGCATATAACCATGAAAGAGACAGTATAAAGTTTTATGTGGCAATTAACATCATGCAATTTAATTTATTGGCTATTCTCAGCCAAAATCGTATCTCCATAAGGAATGCAATGGACTTCCTCATCATCCTGCATTACCTGATAAGTGGACCTAGGTACTTGAGCAAACCCAGTTCCACAAATTACTTTACCTTTCCTCGAAGCAGGAATAACCCAGACTGTTTCCCCCTGCATATTTATGTACACTACAGGAAATTTATCCCTTTCTACCGTGTATATAAGTTTGGACTGTGACGTGCCAGACTGTCAGATTCCCTAGTGTTTACTTAACATGTGACTTCTGCTAAATGTGTGTGCCAATGTTTAAAGGTCCAGCCACCCTCTGCTCCAGGATAAATGGGTAGCAGTCTGTTATAATTTCATTTTTCTGGAGGCTGAGTGCATGACAGCGAGTGTGATATTCCCTCAATGCTGTGGTCTTTGGCCCAGTTGTCTATGATGTTGTTTAGGAAATTAGTCCCACTATCTCATTCTGGAATTTCTGTTATTTTCTTTAAGTTTCCTTCTTAAGACCCACTGTTCCTGGTGATGGCATGGGGTTCAGCCTATGTTCTCTCCACTCCAGTGGTTGCTTTCACCATTATAAGCACATGACATTTTCCATGGAGTTTTGGGGGAGTGTGATATAGTCTATCTGCCCATTCTCCCCGTATTTCTATTTCAGTTGTCATTCTCCACACTGGAGAGGCTTTAACCACTTGGCTTGTTTAATTGCAGAGCATGTTTCACATTCATGGACAATCTGCAGTTGTGTCCTTCGATGAATCCCTGGATCATGTGTCCACCTATAGTTTGCATCTCATCCTTGATTATCTGAGGTGTCATGGGTGCACCAAGCTAGAAATAATTTTTTCTTATATTGATCCATCTGAGTCACTTTGATCGTAGCAGCCTGACGTACTTTCAGGTTGTTTTGGTGTTCCTCTATGGCCCATTCCTTGGGTGCATCACTCCATGTAAGATACTTTGACAGCCAGGTTCTCCACCTAGATAGCAGTATCTTGTCACAGATGGCCTTACCTTTTTGCTGCTAGTTGCTCTTCTTCCATTGCTTCAACCACCCCACAGGGCATTTGCCACTACAAGAGTCACTATAGAACTAAAGTATCAGCCATTTTTCTCATTCAGCAATGTCTAAAGCCAGCTGGATGGCTTTCACTTCTGCAATCTCACTATATTCACCTTCAGTGACTTGTAAGAGACTCGATCTCTGATCCTTTCCTACAATGTGGCAGAACGATCAGTAAATAAGGCATACTTCTTCTCATTTTCTGATAATTTATTACGCAGTGAGCCGTCTTCAGAATGGGTCACCTTCTCCTCTAGTGATATTCCAAAATCTTTTCAGGCCAGTCCTTGATCACTTTCAAGATTCCTGGACAATCAAGTTTGTGCAGCTTTTCTGCTGGTGCATGATTATGGTAGTGACTGGCACTATCTGTCACTCAACAGCCCCACAACAGAAGGGTCCTCTGAGAGAAAATGCTGGGCAGACAGATGCCTAATTTCCCCTGTCTCCAAGGCAGCTGTAGTGAAAACCCAATGATACTCTTTTGGGTCCTTGAAATATCCTCTTCTGAAAGTCTGTGCCAAAGATGCACAGAGTCTTTGGGTCAGTCACAGTGGCATGCTTTTGCCACTCATTCCCAGTCAGGCTAGTCTCAGTCTGCAATATAATCAGCTGTTGGGATCACTCTGCCACTCCAGAACAACAAATCGGTTCTTACCCTCTAGAGCATGATGGCATTATGGCAGACTGTGCAATAATGTCTGTTAGAGCCTTATACTCTTGTGGGTTTGACATTCTAGGCCACTGGATCCTCACATTCTAGTGAGCTTAACCAATCCTCTTCTCCCATTGATGGGAGGCAGGGCCCAATAGTAATGGATATAAAAATCTCCACCCACTTCTTGTGAAAAAGGACTATAATTCTTTACCATAGAATCAGGAGCAAGATTAGCCATTTCACTCTGTCTGGGGAATTGCCTACTGGAGACTGGAGCAGCAATTTTCCAAGAATCCGCATTTGTGATTGTTTTTCCTGCAGTTCACATGCCTGTGCCTCTAGGGTGAAGGTAGATTTTCCAACTCATTTTTTCATATCCTTTCTGTGGTCCCACAGGATTTTAAAAACCATGGTGTGTAGTCTTTATCCTCTTTCTTGAGGAAAAGAATACTCTTATTAGCTGATACTTGTTTGTACAGGTGGGGAGTAGAAGCTGTCTTCTTTTTGTTGCTGGAACTCCTGGAGCTATCTTTCATAATTTTTGAACAGATTTTTTCACAATTGAAAGGCAAGTCAGATAGGAAGTGAGATTTTCATCCACCGCGGGTACTTCTTCATCTCTCCAGGTCATTTATGCCAATGAGCTGGCACATGATGATGGTGTGCTACATATACAAATATCTACCATGTGGGTTATGTGCATTGGACTTTTTCTAGATCTTTATGTGACTACACATTCTTTGGGTCATAACAAATCATGTCTAGCACAGTAGCTCCCTCAGACACTTTTCTCTCAATGGTGGTCCACTTGCCTGGATGACATGGAATCTCTTCCTTGAAGACCTTTCCTTCACACTTGACAAGCAAATAAGTGCCACACATCTGCTTGATTTCCCCCTTAATGGGGTGGGGAGGAGAGTCTGAAAAAAATGTAAAACCTCTGGATCGAGACAGGAACAGTTTAATAATTGAAATCACATTAAACAGAAGCATAACATAATAATCATAATGAGAAGGGAGACAACAAAACCAGAAAAATAAAACCCGAGAGAGAACTGATACACAATGCAAGTTGCAGTGATTAGCCCCTCCCGGTTTATATACGAGGCTTAACAATGTGGTATGGAATATTCCTTTGGTCAGTTGTCCTGGCTGCTCCCCAGCTTCTTGTGCACCTGCTCACTCAGGATAAGGAAGTGAAAAGTCCTTGAATTAGGGTAACCCCTATTTGGCACAACTAAGTCATCAATGTGTTATCTCACACTAAATTTGAGACAGAGCACTGTATGAACTACTAGGAAGAAAAGTAACTCTATCCCAGCTGAAAGTAAGACAAACAGTTGTTATATAAAGGTACTATAATTTTCTCTTTCTCTGTTGCCTCTTTTAAATCTTCACAGCAGAGGCCTCAAAGAAGGAAAATAAGAGTTTGCAAGCAGAGGATAATTTTCGTCAGTCTGCAGTGCCTGAAGCAAGTGGACCAGGGACTGAGGTAGAAACACAGCTAAATGTAGGTGCACAGTCTTACCTCTTTTGTTAATTGTGTTGTTACACAAAAAGACAGTTATGAGAAATTTTTCTTGCCCATATCATTACAACTGAATTTGCCATAATGTATATAAAAGATAAATGGTTATGTTACTTTCTGTGTGGATGTAATGCTTTTCTGTGATGTAGTGCTAATGACTAAGATGGATTAGTGTTTTTTTGTTTTGGTTTGATTTTTGGTTTTGGCTTTTTTGTTTTGTTTTTTTTTTAATTATTTTTGTGTGTAAGTGGGGTTTCCCAATGCTGTATAGAGTCTGTACTGCAGCTGTCAGGGTCTGCAATTTGAGCCATTTACTAGCAGATTACATAAAGGAGAATATTTCAGCTGTCTCTGAGATTAAACTGTTTAGACCAGCTATTTTTACAGGTACCTATCCATGTCACAATTCAATACAATTGTTAATGTTGAGCTTGCATGGAGTGTTATGCATTGTCCACACAAAAAGACTGCAGCTTTCTTTGGATGTATTTGATATAGCAACCAGATTACAATTGCTCATGGACATGAGGTCATGAATATATTTGGGTCATTAAATATTATGAAGCTCTTCCTTTATTTCATTTGTATTCTGAAGCCATACAGAATGTGCTTGACAATCATTTATAGCTCAAAGTACCATAAGCATGGATTTGCATGCTTTAAGGACTGTCTGTTACAGAAATGACCATGCTTTTGTGGAAGTCAGTGCTTTAATTAAAAATGGGAAATAATAGCTAAATCAATATTCTCAGATTAATGTTTAAACTTTAATTTGGAATTTAAGACAAGTTTTCCCAATTGAGAAAATCAGTATTTCCCAAAGCAAAATTGGCAGGAAAGTAGTGATGTTTTTAATCTCTCAATGACTGGAAGTAATAACTCTTAGTTGTCTTTCATTTGTAACAGTGTCTCTAGCCTCATGTCTGGGTTTTAGATAGATTCCAGTAATGATCATATCAGCAAAATGATCTAAAAACTTACACGTTTTGGTTATAGAGCTGTATGGATACACTTGGAGAAAATAGCAGAGTGATAGTAGTTCTTTTGATCTTTTTTTTTGTTTGTTTCTTAAGTCCTGCTTCTTGCCTATTTCAGAGGAAAAGACAGTAAATACCTAAGTGTTCCCACTCCTCATAGCTTGGTAAAAGTGCTGGCAGCTCTAAAATTGGTATCTGCAGTTGTGCAGATGGCTTGTAAATTGTTGGACCACCTAAGAAAATAAAATACCCCACCCTCCCCCAAACCGTGAAAAAACATTCCCCAACTTTAATTTTCACCTTTCACTTATTTTGCTCCCTAGTTTGTGCATTTTGCTTCTAGAATGATTTGTTGCTACTTTACAAATTTTTGTGTATTTAAGACTCACTTGAAACTACTTCAAATAGCAGAATATAGACATGGACACTTTTTGCCAGCCTTCTTCTGCCTTATTGGAAGTGAGACTGGAAGAATGGACCAGGATGCTGATAATTGCTGTTCCAGATTATTACTAGCAACTAAGAAAAACAATGTGTATTATTTTACTTTAATGTGTACAGTTTTTACTCACTTTACTGTATCAAGTGCTGAATCCTCAGCTAACTTACAGAAAAAAATTAGGGTATTGGGATGGTGTGGAGAAACAGGTAACACAAAAAGTTCTAGGGACAAGGACTTAAGCAGTCTCTTGTGCTGACTGTGCATGTAAGCTGCATTACTGATGAATCACCAAGTTCTGTTTTTTCATATTTTTTACATGGGTTGCCATATTCTGTTGGATGTCATGATAAAAATAAAACTATAGAGTAGTAGACAAGTATAAAAATAAGACTTCACAATTAAATTTTGCCAACCATGGCAGTGTAATCCTTTGGGTTTATACAGAAACAGGAAACAAACAGAAAGAGGCTCCTATAATTTAATTCTGTGGACACTTGTTATAAGCAGAACTGTTAGGAAAAAAATCTGGGTAATATTTTTTATAGTCACAGGTAATTTTCAAGTATTATCCTCTACTTTGAGGCCAGAAGTAAAAAACAGGAAAATTAGTCATCCATGACATAAAGGTAGCTTCTAAAAATATTAAATTTGTTGAGACAGAAGACTTAGATATAAATTTAATAATTATTGTAGCTGCTTTTTTTTAGGATCATTACTGTGAAATAGTGCTTTAGAAAGATGCAACCACAGGTAGGACTAGAAGATATTTTAGTTAATTCAGAAAATTTTAGAATAACATTAGCTTTGCTTTTGCTCCACAGGCTGACTCTCAGAAAGATAAAGAATCAACAGATGTCCATGCAAGCACATCTGAAGGTAAAAATAACATTGATTATCAGTATTGCAATTACTCTAGATCAATAGTTGTGCAGGCTATTTTACAGCTTTTCATTTTACTTCATTCATCTGTAAAAATGGATATAAAAACATGCTTTCCTCTAAGGTACTGAAACTCAACTCGCTTTTCAGAGGAATTCAGATAAAATTGTTATGAGTCTTGGTAAAGATACTATTCAGAAAAACAGTACCACAATGAAATGCTGTTTTAGTGGCACTCTATTTAATAAACTTTCTTTTTTGGTGGGGAGGTTATATATAGATCTCAGACTGAATTTGTTCACTTGATTTTTTTTTTTTTTTTTTTTTTTGGTGTTATTCTCCTAAGACCCTAATGTAACACATGTTCCCATCTGGACACGGAGTGGTCAGTTAAAACGTCAGAAGCTAAATAAATATAGACAGAAACCTGGACTTGAAACTTCTCAACGAGATGAGGAAAATGTTCTTCAAGTGTCCAAAAGCAGGTACTAGGAGCCCATTTTTACTGATTTCTTATTTTGTTGCTTGGGCAGTCACAAACTACATTAGTGTCTCAGAGTGTGCAACTGGTATTTCTTTTCCTTTCTCCCTACTTTACTTGCTTGATTTTAAAAATACTGAAAGTAAAGCCTAATGCAAAAAAGGAAGAAAGAAAAGTGAGACATCATTTAAAGGGTGATTGCACCAAAATGTATTACCTGTGAAAGCTCAGCAGATACTAGAAATAATAGAAAAAGAAGGAAGGCTGAGACTGTCCTGTTGTAGCTGAATCTGTACAAAGGTAAAAATACTTGTATTCACAGTTCCTTGAGATAATATATCTGGACTTCTCTCCATAATACTCTGTGTGGTCTTTGAGGAGGTATCCCTTCCCAACTTCTTGCTGTGGTTGATATATTGCAGTAAAATATGATCTGACTGTTCAGCTGGAAAGTGCATGTCAGCTAGCAACAAGTGTTATAGGCAGCCATGCCTTCAAAGGAAAGCTCTTTGCTCAGACAATATTTTAAACCATCATATCTGATCTAACATCCTGAAAAGAACCCAAAACCATTTCCAGTTTAAATTATGTTAACTTGTGTAGCAATCATCATATGTGGATTGAAGAGTAGTATGACTTGTGCGCCAATACAGTTCTTACAGGACAGGACTTGGAGTAATAATTTGCAGTGGCTTTCCATTCAGAATATCTACTATAAGTAGATATAGACACATTGTGCCCACCCCACCCTGCTCCATATGTATGTCTCCCTCTCATTCTCTTCCAAAGAAACTCACTTCAACTCCCAAAGCCTCTTTTGACAAACTGAAGATAACTTGATTATTTTCGAGGAATTCACTCAAGCTTTTTCTATGAGGTTTCTTTAGACAGTATTAGTTGTGGGGGTTATCTTTGTGCAATTGAAGCCTTCAACTAGATACTGCCTATTTTTTTGTATTTAAATTGCTCTGTGGCATTACAGGTATTGTGATGCTGTGCTGCACTGCCAGTGTACCGCCCTAAGCTGGTTCAAACAGGTTAAACAGCACAGTTTGATGCTACCACAGCTTAAGAAATGCTGCTACTACTAATAATTGGCTAGTTGTATGTGAAAGTACTAATCTGAATGTCAAATTTTAGGCCTTGCAAAATAAAGCCAATGAGGTGTTGTTGTTACAGAAGATGTGTTACATGGTGTTTTACACTAGAGCTAAGCAGAAAGCTAAATGAAGGCAACAGAATAGGATATCAGCTTGGTACTTTCCTGTGCACACCAACAAATGAAACCGGGTCTTCTGTTGTGCACTTTCCTATGGAGTATCATAATCTCAAGACTAGCATGTAGGATAAAACCCTCCTGTTCTGCCTTTATTATGAGATCACAAAGTACACTCGTCTAAATCTATTGCATGCACTTTTTTCTTTGCTTGTATGTAATAGTTTCACTTCATCTAAATTTTATCTAAAAAATGAGAACTGAATATTTGAGTTACTGTTACTGAATCATTAGAAAAAGCCGGTATAATCACGGACAAAGACCCTCTAACTAATTAAAGTTACAAAGTGGTATGTTTATTCACCAGCGGGTGGCACGGGAGTCACCTCCAAAAGGCGTGACCGCCCCGAACAAGGTTCTTTGACCTCTATTTATTCCCCAAGATCTTACATACAATACATATGCATAACCCCAGCACCTCCCATCCCCATCCCATATTAAAATGAGCCCATTAGTCCTTCACGCGTGTGCAGTTCTTCTCTTAAATTTGGGTCGGTGGTCTCGAAATGTGTCAGTGGTCTCGAAGGATGAAGTCAAGAGAGTCTTCATCAGGTCTCAGTGACCCTCTGGCACGATCCAAGGCCCCGTGTTTCATGGTTAGCAGTTTACTTATTTTACGTTCTTCTGTACGCAAATTTATAATAGCAGATAATTATACCAATTAGCTCTAGCCTAAGCATCTAGTAATTATTAACCTACCATTTACCTACCTAACTTACATCTTGGTCATGGAAACTACTTCTACTCTTAGCAAAAATTCTAACTTTTTAAAACCATGATTCATTACCACCCTGCGGTAGTGGGGCAGTGCATTAGCACTTCATCTTTAGCTATTTGCTAATGTAATCTCTAGCTGATGGCAACTTCTTCACCCATTATGTCTTTATTGCCTTGAATTATTTTCCAGTCATGGTCTTTGTAATATCTGTATTTTCAATGATTATACAAATATAGTTGCTTTCATAATTCCATAATTTCTACAGTAGGCGTGGGGGGGGGGGGAAAGGAGTGCTGCTTTTCTTAACCCTTTGTAGCTTTCAAATATGAAATGCATCACTACTTCCTAAATTTAAAATAACAAACTTATCGAAATTCCAGATTTCTTTCCCATAAAAGGGAAGTGAGACAGATATAATTTTACAATTGCCAAAGCAATTTTCCTAGTTGATACTATTTTTTTTCCTAATGAGGAGTTAGCCATTTCTAGATGCATTTTGTTTTCTTGATTCATATTTCCTATGGCAAGCATGCACTGCATAATTGCTCATAAAAGAATTTCCCTGCTGAGGTCACCAAAATTATGTATTAATCTAAAAGATATCTCTTAATACCTGCTACAGGCCAGAACTTCTTGCCCACGCATCTGAAAGCCCTGAAGACTTAGTAGAAGTGCCTAAGTTGGATACTGTTGAGAAGGATGAAGAAATAATTGTTGAAAATGAGGGGCAGCCTGTACTGGAAGCAGAAATGCATGTATCACCCTCTGAGAAGCAAAGTGAGATGGAGGTGAGCTGGATGGACAAAAGCAGATAAGTTCAGAATACAGCTACAGTTTCTGTTAAATATGGTCCTTGCTACCTTGCTCCACGTGACTCCCAGCTCTTTGAATTTTTTGCACCAGTGCTTCATTAAGAAGTGTATCTGAGAAGTTAAGGCTAATACAGAATTAGTTTCGGGGAATATTTCAGTGTACATATTTTGAACAGTAGAGCTTATAGAATCTTCAGTAAGGTGAATTTCTAGCTTGTTACTGTCCTAATTTTCTTCACTGATTTCTTCTAATAAGAAATTTTGGAGAACTGGGATAAGGTCAAGATCTGACCCAGTAGCACTAATTAAAAAAAAAAAAAAAAAAAAAAAAAGTTTTTTTTAAGAAGTCTGTTGCTGGAATGTTTCAGTGACTTTTATTGGCTCTTTTTAGTTCTCCACTTAAAACTTGCCTGTTGTATTTAAACATCAACTTTAAATCCAGCTTTTTTCTTCACCTTGTTAACAATTTGAATTTAAATTTCTGAATATTCTTTGTGTTTAGCAGTGCCCTCAGGGTTTTATGTTCTTACTGATGGATGAGATAGTGGACCTTACACATGTTAGGTTCAAAGAATGACTGCAGCAGGCATGAGAGATGCATTAAAAAGTCTTGTCTTAGCTCCTAACTGTAAGCTATGGTTATATATTTAGTGCAGGTGGCAACAACAGATTAATACTCTGGCTAAGTTAGCAAATCTGCATTAAATTCTGCCTTCTTAGTACACAATTCTAGATATCTGAGCTATCTGCTTCTCATATCGAGCTGCAAATTTAGATCACATGTACTCCCATTAGTGCTGGGGAACAATAGCTAGGCATAATCTTGATTTACAAATGTGATTTTTTTTTTTAGGAAATGCCATCAGAACCTCTTAATGGTGAGGTAGCAGAAGAAACTGGTAAGACCTCACTCATGTCTGAAGGGGAGACAGTAAATGAAGTTCCAAGTGGCGAATTAAAATTGCTGTCTGAGAATCAAGGAAAAGAACCTGTAACACTGTTTGTTCCACTAACCCCTGATGCTCCAGCAAAACTTCCAGAAGACACTGAATCAGAAAAGGTGAGAGAACCAAAACAAAATGTGAAGTACCTTTTACTTCAAAGTATATGTATCTTGCTGGGACTTTTTTCTTTTGTTAAGTAACAGAAAGTGACCCCTTACATTGCATGAGATTATTGGGAGAAGCAATTATTAGGCCAGATGATGTAAATCCATAAGAATACATAGTTTCATTGTGCAGTTTCTTTTCAATGTGCAGAAGTAGGACCTATATGCGTGTGATACCCAAAAGAAAGGTATGTTTGCAGCAGTTTGCCTTGACAGTCATGAAACTGCTGTTTCTCACTAAAATACTGGTTGGTAAGAGTGAAAAACCACATACTTATTTTATGTAGCAATTCTTGCCTGATGAGGTGTACAAATAATTAGCTACTGCCAAAATGCCTTTGCTTTCAGAACACAGGTTTTACTGGTGTTTTGTTTATAGTGCAAAAGCAGATTATTATATGCTAGCAAAACAATAATTGTATTTGTTTACAATATTTTCCCCTGAGATTAATATCAGAGTGCTTTTTTATACCTCAAATTATTCAACTCTTTTGAGCAATTTGAAAATCAGAGAGCAACTCTGAATATGAAATGCAGGTCACAAAATAGTCTTGTGCAAAAAGGAGGACTGTTCTGTCAAGTTATGTGCATAGAATTAAAAAACTCCTGAATGCTGAACTATCGTCTGAGGTTGCTAGCTGGGGGCAGCATTTTTTTGGTGTCTTTTACCTTTAACTAATTGTCCGTTTGATTTGGCACCTCCACCCATAGGTTTTAAATGAAAATGATTCAGAAATGCTGACTGAAGAAGTTACATCAGTAGAGAAGGAGGTCACTGAAGAACAGCAAGAATCCGAAAAGACCACCAGTGAAAACACAACTGCTTTGGCGTCGAAGGAAGAGCCTTCTGACAATGGCCTGCCTAACTCTGTGGTAACTGAAGCAGCAGAAGAACCTGTTTCTGAAAACTTACCTTCCTCATTAGAAGATCAAAATGAGGAAGCAGGGCACAATTTGCAGGAGGCCCCTGCTGCCTTGAGTCAGAGCTCTTTGGTAATGACTGAACTTGAGGGTGTTTCTTTTCAGCAGCCTTCTGGACAGGAAGCACAGAAGAACCAATTGGAAGAGCCCTCAGAAGAGTCTACAGAGCAGGCGGATCACTACACGCAGACAGTGGCAGAGCGGGCTGCTGACAGCAGCTCTGAGGAAGCAGAAATTGAGGTGCCCATTGTAGATCGGAGAAACTTGCGAAGAAAGGCTAAAGGCTACAAAGGTCCACCCAAGAAAAAAGGAAAACCTGCTTAAAAATCAAATAGTGATAGTTTATCTATTTATAACAAGGCTATTTTGTGTAAAACATTTGGGTGTAACTGCACCATATCTGGCACAGAGCACACGTTTAAAATTCTGGATTGGATTTCCTCTTGGGTTCATCACCTTTCCTCAAGTTTTGGTTTGTTTGCATTTTAAATTTAACCACTAGAAATTTAACTTATTCATAGTATGAAAGTAAATAGTCATTCCCCTCCCTTCATAAAGGACACGTGTTGAATAAATACAGTTGTGCTATCAAAGGGAATGGTTTGTATATTTGAGGTGGTAGTCATGGAAGAAAAATGCAGTGTGAAATCCTGGCTCTGTCAAGGTCGCTTAAATTGTTCTACACTTCTATGTCAGTGGACATCAAGTCAGATAATTTCTTTTTAAATAACTTTGTGTTCTCTACTGTGGAGAAAAGCAGAACAAGAAGAATCCCTCATTGTTTCTTGTTCCCTTCCCACAGGCTTAAGAGATTAAAAGAATGTAAGATTCCTCATTCTAGGTCTCAAAATGTACAAGAAGGTGTAGCTCAGTAGATCAATGCAATGTGAGCAGCACTTGTCTTTCATGAGAATCACTTGAAACAGCTGAGTCAGAATGCAGTGCAGCGTCTGCCACAGCACTTCCTGATAATAGATTTCTTGAGCAAAGATTTAAGAGATGCCTACACAGTAAACTATTTGTAGCTTCCAAAGCAAGCATTTTGGTAAGCCCAAGTTTTTCCAGAGTGTAGGAAATGAAGCCTCCATGTGGAATCGTTTGAGCTTCCTTCCTAGCTTCTTGCATGTGTTGAGTGGATAGCTGATTACTTGTTGCATTACAGGAAAAGGATATGGCTACTCTTGATCTTGTTTTGGTCTGAATGGAAGTGGTTCTTTGTGTTTTCCAAATACTTGGCTGGTGCTGTGGGGTAACTATTAAAATGTTGTGTCTTCCAGGTATGACTCCTGTGAGCACTGACATTTCAGTGGTTGTGATATTCATTAGTGTGAGTATTAGTAGGTATTTCAGCAAATGCTTTTTTGCCAAACTTCTATGCCTTTAGAAGTTAGTGGGTGATACCTTGCAAATACTACTGATTCCCACTTTTGTTTTCTAACTTGAGTGTAATTCCTGGGATGATATCTTCCCAGCTGATGACTTTTCTTAAAAGCAGCAACCAAACTTTACTGTATGCAGACAGGAATAATAAACCCAGACTTCCTATGCTTGTTTCCCTTCTGAGGTTCTCTTGGTAAACCATGTATTTAACTTGTCACATGTACCTAAATTAGCCTTAGTTTGCTGTGTGTTTCTTTCCAATAAATGCAGCGCCTTTTGTAAAAAAGAAATAGAAGAACAATGATTCTGAGAACAGGAATTTACACCACTTTTTGTCCTGCATATGCCTTTTCCAAGATGTGTGATGTGTGAACTAGTCTTTCCCAGTGTCTCAAAAACAGAGGTACAAGGTTCACTTGAATAGTTGCAATGCTGTCTTAACTTTTATCCCTTTATGGAGGTAATGTAAGAATCTGGATTTTGGATTTTTATGCTTATACAGCTTAACTCTATTTATAAGATATTTTAACTATGTAAGATACATTCATACTATTTTTTTCAGATGGTGAAGTACCATGCTTCTTTTTTGTCTGCTAAGAGGAACTCACAGGAAAAAAAAGGGCAATTGAAAAAAAAATCTGTGTTACCTGAATTTCAGATTCAGGGGATATGAGATTACTGAGTTAAATCTGGGTTTCTTGAACTATTGCATGTAGCTATAATATCTTATCAATGTATATACAGATACTCATTATGAGTGATAAATGTTGACTGATAAATATGACTGATAAATATTCAAGATCTTTCCTGATTGTGTGTAAACATATTCAAGTGAACCTTAAGCATTTTTAAAACTCATAAAGCTTTTTCTATGAAGCCTATAAGAAAAACCTTTTGTTATTTTCTGTATGGCTTCTCTTTTACTGCTGAGATTGTTTTTTTTTTTAAACAAAATAAGTGACTAGAAAACACATATATTGCATTGCCAAGAATTGGGGATTTTTGAGGACTGGTGGCCTAAAATACACTGGTGTATACAGTATACTGCAATTCATCTTTTGTTTTTAGGGCAAGCTTTATTGAAAACTAATCTTCTGAGCTCTTAAATTGATACAAATATATCCACTGTGAAAAAGTTAAGAATTATTTTACTTATGAGCCCCAGTAATTTCAATTACTTCTAGGTGGCTGTTTGATACACATATTTATCACTTATATTCCTGGTGAGGTTGGAAGACATTCATGAGTAGGTATTTTCACTCACCTGGCTTTTACTTTTCATGGCTAAGTTGGAATTATTTCAATTAGTATCTTTCTTTTGAGACATTTGCAGGGTAAATACATAAATAGTACGAGATTGTGATATTAGGATGGTTTTGGTTTCTACTGAGAACAATAAAATTTCTGATCTCATTTCAGTGAGTGAATTTTAAGTACTGAACATAAATTCACTTGTTAAAAGTACAGAGGTATCTCTATAAATCTGGGGTGCCTGGGATATTAGCTGATGAACAGACTTTTACAAACAGCATGTGGGCAATTGTGGTGCAATTAGCAATTCCAATAACCAGTACAGTCTTGAAAAATGGACACTGTCCTGACAGTGATCGCAGCAGTACTTTGAACCAAAGGATGCGTTTTATTTCTACAACTTCCTTGGCATCAATCTTTCTCCAGCTGCTTTTTCAAAGTAGCAAAATCAAAATACTGACTTTAAGTAATAATTTGTATTACTGTACTGATTGTCCCACAGTAGGAACAGTAGTTTAATACCTTATTAATTCTGTGACATTTATGTAAGGGAACATGTTTGACAACTATATTGACTGGAGTGTTTTATCTTGGGGACTATTAATGATCTTATTAACATCTAACTCTTAAATGATTTTAAAGATCCTATTGCACCAGCAACAAATTATTAAAACATCAACTTTATAAAAGTTTGTACCAAATGTTATTACAACATGCTGTGGAACTATGTGTGTACAGTGAAAGCAGGCAGTATTATTTTTGAGCTTTATTGAGTCTAGGAATAGAGTTTAAAGAACATTAATTTGTGACTTCAGCCTTGCACTTAAATGGTAAATGGTTTTGTACTTGAATCTAGTATTTGTTCAAATGTCTGTCTTGTACTGCTTCTCCCATATTCTCTCTAGGTCAATTTTAATTTAATGCAAAATTCTTGTTTGCTGTTCTCCTGTTTCATAGCATGAAAATGTATACATCTCATTTCAAAAGCGCTTTAACTTATTTTCAAGTAAGTCCAACCTTACTGCTTATTTGTACCATTTCATTTGTAAATGTCAGTAATTGAATTGATAATTTACAATGTCATTGACACTATTAGCAACAAATTGACCTAAGTTTCACCTTCCTTCTTCTAAGTGACTGTTCTAAAATATTACTATGGGGATACACTTTAAATTAATTTCTGCAAATGTGTTAGATGTTTTCTAAACTAGTGATACCCTGTTTATAAATCTTATGAAAGATGTATTGCTATTGCATAGTATTGTACCTTAGTCTTGTTACTGTGTTAATTTTTCCTTTTTTCAGTACTGTCTTGGCTGCTTTTGAAATGTTTTGAAGTAGTAATAAACGTTTATTTTGTGATTATTTTTGTTTGTTTTTTAATATTTGAGTCCTTTCTGCTATATAGGAAGCACATTTTAAAGTGGTTCAATTCACTGGAACTATCATTTTATGACCTGTCTGAGAGAAGGGACTTTTTAAAAAAATCAAAAATTATTAATTAAAACATCTTGTATCAATTAAAATAATTTTCTTTAGCTTATGCATCAGATTTTATTTTAAAGAAGCAGCAGAATAGGCTCTTCTAAATACTATGGCATGCATTCTGCTGTTTATCTCAGTTCTGTAAGTTGACATAAACTTTGGAGTTATGAATGTAGTTTGCTTTAGACAAGCCAACTAGAAGTGCTGTAACACATTCCCCTACAGTGTGGTACATTAAAATGTCTGAAGTGCAATTGTGTTATTCAGCCAAAATGTTATGTATTTATAGCACTAAATGTAGTAGTTTTTCAAGACAGATGTAGGAAAATAAAATCATTCTCTTCATGTTGTTGATGTCCAGCAAATACTAAAGCATCAAGAACTTGCTTTATAAGAATAAATTGAGGTTTATCAATTCTGACAAAATGCTCTTTCTCCAAGCAGGTAACTTAAGGTTTTGTGACCCTCTCTTACTTTCAAATGACTTGTCACTAACACAAACTAAAACTCTTAAGTTACTAAGTCCAGACCAGGGCACTGTGTTAAACTAATGAAATATTTGTAATAGATTATGGGTACAGTTACTGCCTCTGTATTATGGTATAAAAGAAGTTATAAAGATTGTACAAAAGCAGCTAACTTGACTTCCTACCAGAGTTCCAGATCTGAAACATGACTGGAGAAGCATCTGTGATAGAAGAGCTGGAGCTGCAATTGTTCTTCCTGGAGAAAAGAAAGACCTGGAGGGTCTTAACCTTGTGTACACATAATTGGTGGAAGGGGAGTGTATGTCATGAGTGGTTTAGGTTGCTGTTTTGCTTTGAAAGACAGGAGTCTGCAGCCTTTTTAAAAATGGAGAATGTAAGCCCCTTCCCTCTAAATTATTATTATTTTGAAATTAAGGGGCTCTCAGGTAAAGATATGGGAATAGGAATAACAGTTCTTTACTAGGAAAATTAAAATAGACATACAGTATTACAAACCCAAAACACTGACAGAGTCAGAATACAACCTGACACCCTGTCAGTCAGGGTGTTGGTAGCAGTCCGTATAAATGGTGGCTGCAGTCCTCCTGCATGACAGATGTAGTTCAGCTGAAGCAGTGGTCCTGTAGAAGGGTGCAGTTTTCCTCCAAAGGTCCAGTGATGATGTGGAAAGGTCTGGTTTTCCTCTGGGATCCAGTGGAAAAAGGCTGCCTTGGTGTTCCAGATCTCAGTTTTTATCTAGGTAGGACATGTTTGGCTCCTCCCCCTGGCTGGAGCATCTCATAATGGGATGATGTAATTTTATCAGTCATGCAGTGGGACTCAACGGCCCATTAACAGAAGATATCTTCTTGGAGGAAGGATGGGTGGTAGAAAAGATGAGGATGACTGCCCCACATGATTTTAATAGATGGCCCATTAGCAGAGAATATCTCCCACAGAGATAAGGATCACTGCCCCACTTGTTTTCAACAGATGGTAATCGAATACATACTTTTGGTCACATCCTGTATTGCAACCTAAGACAGTTGCTTAATGAATCACTGTCAAAGTATTAACAAAAGTAGGTTTAATGTAAATTCTCAAAAGCATGACCTTAAAAAGTCTGATGGCAAGATTCGCTCTTTTACTTAATAGAGAGATGAAGTATACAAAGGAAAATTGAATTAGGATTAATCTAAAACTGTTTACAGAGATGGAGAATGCAAAAGGGTGAGAGAGACCTGCTGAGTCATGAGTTTCAAAGAGGACCCCCTTACTTTTGTAGAAGCACAGAGGTTTGTCGATAATTAGACACTGAGCAAGAGCAGGACATGGATTGAGATGGGGGCATACAAAGGTTGGCAGCACTTCTCCAGAGCCAAACATCCTTGTTCTGGCTTCTGGAAATAAAGCACAACACAGTACAGAGCAGACACAGGAGTGGGGTTGAGGACTCCATGAAGGTTAGGTACACATGTGCCCCAGGACCTGGACACCCCATCACCTGGATCAACTTTTCCTTTTTCCCTTCCCTTTCCTTTTCCCCTTCCCTTTCCTTATCTCTCTTCCTTTTTACCCTACCCTTTATTCAAACTCCACTGGTGTGTCTAGGGAAATCAGGAGCTAGCATACCAATTTCCATACTAAGTATGGGATTTTGAAGATCTCTGACTTTTGTCATTCTGTTCAACCACAAGCACCTATGAATCTTGGATGATTCCTTCTCCCTACAGATGGGACACCAAAGCTTTCCAAACTCCTGATAGAGCATGACTGAGTCCAGTCTTAGTTCTGGACTTCATCAGTTTATCTGTAAACCATTCGATCACTGGCAGCACTCAATCATCGACTAGTT